CATAAGAACAATTGTGAAGATGGCCCAGGGTTATCTTCTGTTGTCCACAGGGTCACAGGCATCAGAACTGACTCAATGGCACCTAACAATAAGAAGTGGATATAATATAGGAGTTTTAACAACTGTACTGCAGGTCTGAAATTGTTTCAAAACAAAAATTTGAGATACTTGTGGTGGAATGAAATTTCTTAATATGGCTCCTCTACCCAAGTCTCTCTAGCTTCCACCAAATGACTGGGTGGGACTAGGCAAACAGGTTTGGGTTTTTTTTAACACTAATAGAAGGGATTGGTCAGTTTTTGTTACTACCTCCCCTAGCTATAAGGATGAGCTATGTTTGAAGCAGCAGCAGAGAGAGATTAGGACTATTTGGAACAGGACATCCAAGGATCTCTGTATGAAATAGCTGAGGTCGCTGAGACCAGATGTACCAGAAACGATAATGATGTGATTTGATATTTGTGTGATATACTCATGGCCGGAGTTTGATCTGATATTATCAGCCAATCACTTGTAAGAAGTTTGAGTGGGATGCAACTCCCTTACGTAGGTCACAAGTTTGACCAGATGTAAGGAACATTGTCCTGGGGTGTGGACAGCATCGCCTTTTCCCTAACAAGCAATCAAAGGAGAGGGAAGCAAGTAGAGACGGAGGGACTTGACGACCGCACCAAGAAAGAAGAGCGGGAGGGAAGTGCAACCCTGGGTCTCGGTGCTGAGACCCTCCAAAGGCCAGGAGATGACTAAGGCCAAGACACATGAGAACTCTAAGAGGTAGCAGGCCCTCAGCTGTTGAAAAGAGACAAAGACCTCTTAGAACTGGCACCCCCAAATAGACAAATAGCCTCCAAAACTGCGAGAGAATACATTTATGGATACAGCCATCCATTTGTCGTTTTTGTTATTGCAGCACTAGACAACTAAGATGGTCTATAAAGAGCATGTGAACTCCAGCATGAAAGGAAACTGGAAACTGCACAAAAATTCCTCCTCCTAACTTTTACAATAGAGAGAGTCTGTGCCAAGAAAACTTGGAATAAGATCATTAAAAAAAAAAAAGAAACTAATTTTGTATAGAAAGGCTTGGAAAACCAGGTAGGGCGAAAAGCCATCAAAGAGTTGGCTCTAGCGCCTGGAGTCTTAAATGCTTGAAGATAAACAAGCAGCCATCTAGCTGAGAAGCAACAAAGCCCTCATGGAAGAAGCACACCAGCCTGTGTGATTACGAGGCGTTGATAGGATCAGGTATCAGGCATCAAAGAAGAAAAAATGATGGGGTGTGCAGAGTGGGGACCCAAAGCCCATCTGTAGGCAACTGGACATCCCCTTACAGAAAGGTCGCGGGGAGGAGATCCGCCAGTCATAGTGAAGTATAGCACTGATGAAACTCTACTTCTTTAATGCTTCCCCCCGCCACTATTATGATCCCAATTCTACCTTACAAATCCGGCTAGACCAGAGGATGAACATGGGTGCAGATAAGAGCTGGAAACAGGGAAGCCAGGACAGATAAACCCCTCAGGACTAATATTGAGAGTAGTAATACCAGGAGGGTAATGGTAAGGTGGGGGAAAAAGGGAAACCGGTTACAATGATCTACATATAACCCCCTCCCAGGAAGACAGACAACAGAAAAGTGGGTGAAGGGAGACATTGGACAGTGTAAAATATGAAAAAAAAAAATTTATAAATTATCAAGGGTTCGTGAGGGAGGGAGGGCTGAACAGGGAGGGAAGGGAAAAAAGGAGGAGCTGATACCAAGGTCTCAAGTAAAAAGAAAATGTTTTTTGTTTTTTTTTTAAGAAAATGTTTTAAGAATGATGATGGCAACAAATGTACAAATGTGCTTGACACAATGGATGGAGGTATGGATTGTGATAAGAGTTGTACGAGCCCCCAATAAAATGATTTTAAAAAAGCATTGGCCATCTTCTCCCTCACTGGCCAACTTACATGGGAATTAAGAGTCTTGCCTCTGGAGCTGTTCTTGAAGATGTGGCCATAAATGGGCCTAAACTCCTTACTGCAATGCTACTGCTTTCTTAGTGCTCTGCCTGGCCCTTAGAGGAAAAAGAGTGAGATAGGATGGCAGTTGGCTTCCTGGCCATGCAACCACAGGATAACCAAAGATGTGGACACGAATTTCATCAGGATGAGTGAAAAACCTAAACAGGGCTACAATTATGGAAAACACTAGGAACTTAGTATTGGTGGGGTGTGAGCTCTATAAAACAAATGTGAATCCCACTTGGAGCAAGAAGAGCTTGGGAAGGAGGAAAGAGGATAACCCTAAGGCATAAGCCCAAGTACTGAAGAGGGACTTCCAAACAAAGAGGATGATTCTATGTAGTGTATTTATAGGAAGGCACTATCTAATGCTATGGTACCGGCAAGATTCACAAAGATTAATTCTGATCCTTCACATTTAGGTAGTCCTAGGAATATGATAAATCAAGTTATTATAACTGATGCAGTCTTATATCAAGATTAAAAGATACATTCTAATGGCAAGGATCAAAGGAATGGTAATAAACATATACACTTAATACAAACATGGAGAGAAAAAAAACAACAATAAAATTGTGCTAGGTTTTTGAGTTTAGAGATATATTCTGACGCAAACTTTCTCTGTTAGTGTCTACAAATTTAGATATCTCCTTCTATGTTAATCCACACTCCCCTACAGTCAGTATCAAAGTTATTATCATCTACTCTTGACTTGCTTCCAACTCTGGCTCTAAGATTTTCAAGTCTCTGGCACTGGCCGGAACATGCTAGTAACAAAACCAATGTCCTAGTTCTTCGTGTCATCAGTAGTGACCATTGAATGAAACAAGAACATTAAAGTCAGAGAAGAGAGAGAAATAAAGAGGCACAACAGCTATTTAAAAAAAAAATCATTTTATTGGGGGCTCATAAAACTCTTATCACAATCCATGCATCAACTGAATCAGGCATGTTCACAACAGCTATTTTTAAACGGAAGGGGGATACTGATGGTAGGCAGCTTCAAAAAAACCCAAGGGCTCACCCTAAGAGTAACCAAAACGATCGTTGTACATTCTGGGCCACACACTAACCCCAAGAACAAAGAAATTCACACTAAAGCATATTTCCCAAGAAAAATCAACGACTATTTACAGATGACTTACAACGAATCTAGCACATTACACTGGCATAATGTCAGGTGCCTTCCACTCAAGAGATTCCATATGCCCAAGAGAATGAAACAATGCCTGGTCCTGTGCTACCTTTGTAATCAAGGTGCTATCGAAATCCTATCTCATGCCATCAAGTCCATTCTGACTCATGGTGACCCTATGGACAGAGTAGGGCTGCCCCGTGGGTTTCCAAGATGAACTCTTAGCAGGAGTAGAAAAGTCTTCTCTTTCCCCAAGAGTAGCTGGTGGATTCAAACTGCTAACCTGGGCTCGCAGCCCAAACCATAACCATTATTCTGCCAGGGCTTCTCCACAGGTACAACAGAATGCTCAAAATGCTACAGGTTTCCCATGGAAGCCTTCGTGAAATAGGACAAAACCACATGAAGCATTCAAAAAACAAGTTTGTGCATCAGAGGTGCTTTAAAAATATGTTATATAGGCAGTAAGTCCTTTAGAAATCCAAAGAACATACAAGGAGGCTTCAAACAGCTCATTACAAAATTTTAGTATCTCTGGCTAGACCAGAGCATGTACACTGGTGCAGATAAGAGTTCTTGACACATGGAATTCAGGACAAATAAACCCCTCAGAAACAATAATGGGAGTAAGTGATACCATGAGAGTAAGGAAAAGGTGGGGGGAGAAGGGGGAGAAAAGGGGAGCCGATCACAATGATTGACGTATTAACCCCCACCCACCATCCCAAGGGGGATGAACAACAGAAACGAGAGTGAATGGAGACTGGACAGTATAAGATATGAAAATAATAATAATTTATAATTTATCAAGGGCTCACAAGGGTGGGAGGGAAGTAAAAAGAGGAGCCAATACCAAGGACTCAAGTAGAAAGAAAATGTTTTGAAAATGATGGCAATATATGTACAAATGTGCTTGATACAATTGATGCATGGATTATTATAAGAGCTGTAAGAGCCCCCAATAAAATGATTTATTAAAAAAAGTTGTACAAGTCCCCAATAAAATGATTTAAAATAAAATAAAACTGTGCCTACTTCACGGACAGTCGCAGTAAACAGCGGGGCCTTAAAGGGTCAGTGTTCTTTTAAGGCTCCTATTACAAAACGTAAGAGTTCTGGAGAGCAATGGTTATGCACTCTGCTGCTAATGGGAAAGTTAGCACTTTGAGGCCGTCATTGGCTTTGCAGAAGACAAGCTCTGACAATTTGCCGATGACTGTATAGGAAACCTCACAGGGCATTAGAGGGTCACGATGAGTTGTCTTCACAGAGTCAGGGTGACCAAGACTAAAATGCTAGACATTAACAAGCCAAGAAAAAAAATTCGCTGAAAACCCACTGACCACAAGTCCATTCTAAGTCACAGTGACCTCATAAGGAGGAAGAAGTGCTCCTAGGGTTTTCTGAGACAAATAAATCTTTACAGGAACAGTCTCATTCTCCCTTAGAAAGAATGGTGGATTTGAACCACCAACGCTTTCTTATGGTTAGGTATAGTTTCACCATAATTTGGAGTAATGGCTGCTTCAACTGAAGTCTGGATCCAAATTTGGATCTCTGTGCCAGAGAATGCTTATTTATCTCTCAGGAATTCTAGTCTATATTGTGTTAGCTGCGTCACCAGAAAAGATTTATCAGGTAGATCTGCTAATAATGTCACTATTTTTAAAACTACATGATGACTTCCATAATGCCTTGAAAGACTAAATATATTAAAAACAAACAAGCAAGCAAACAAACAAAAGCATGAATAAAAACCCAGCCCCACAGACACAGATCAAAGCAGGAAACCCACGAGGGGTTCGAATACAGGCCTGAAGTGGACAGGCAGAGCCAAGTGTCATGAAGATGTTCTTACCGGTGCAGTCTGCCCCCATAAAACGGCTTAGTGTGGAAAGTGATGCTGGCTGAGTACCCGGTCTTTGCACAGTTGACGCTGACTTTGCCACCCAGTTCTACCCAGGGAACGGTTAAAATTGACCGGGCGTATGCACAAGGTAAAGAAAACGTATACTCTTCTCCATGTTCCAACAGACTGAGGATACCTGAATGTGAAAACAGTAGGATAGTTAACATCTTACAAGAAAAATTAAGCCACCCCCAAAAAGATCCATTGTGTTTACTTGTATAGTAGATCCTATTATTTTGCTTTATATGATTTCATTTACAATGGCAATTTTTTCATAGTAGTGAATCAAGGTATTCCCACTATGACCTCACTATCCCTTTTAGGTTCACAGGACCAGAAAGCACTACCAATGACAGTTTCAAGAAATCCCCTTAAAATTCCTTCAGCCTGAACTTAAAGCATTGTTAGGATCTGATCATTGATTAGGGCTTATAACTTTTTCAAACTGTTACAGAGTCAACTGAAATAAGATAGCAATGGTTGGGAAATCTATACAGATTAAGGAAAATAAAACCTAATCCTATCAGAAAAATCACAGATATAATAATTACTTTGTCAAATTCTGAAATATTTATGGTAAAGCTGAAAGAATGTAAGCGGGGAAAGAGCAGAAAGGAGAGCTGTAGCACTGATGGCTGTACAGCTCACTCGATGGGACTGAACACAGACGTGCGCGTGCACGGATCCACGGACTGTGTCAGATATGTCCATGAGACTATTGCAATAAGGGAAAAGAATACTATTCTAATAGAGCTTGTTTCTATAATGATGCTATATTAAAGACATTAATTGTTTTTCTCATTTCTTAGATATGTTTTGTCTTGTTTTGGAAGGGGGCCTACCATCACCAGATTCTCATGAGCCAGAATAACTGCCCAGGGGGAAATAATGTCAAAGAGTGAGGCTCTAAACCTGGCTACGCCTTAAACTTCATGACCCTGCGGCGTCTGTTCCATCATTTCTCGACATCAGATTTTTCATCTATAACATCAACAGGCTGGTTTATGAAACATCAAGGGCTAATGTAGAGTTTATAAACTAAAAAGACAAGTTTTTAAATTAATAAAACAAGAGTTATAGAAGTTTAAATTAATAAGCAGTTTAAGTTATGGAGTACAAAACTGATGATCTGAAATGTAGATCCCTACCTAACTCACACAAAAAAGAAAAAAAGTGATTTTTTTTTCTCGTTTTAATTAACCTTAAACATTATATGGAAGTTGGAAAGAGTCATATCACAATAAATAACAGAACTTAATAATGAGGAGAGTTAAAGAGGAGGTATTTTTATCTGGAACATAACATGGTGTGATTTATTTTTGTAATAATAAAAATTTTAAATTTGGAAGAAATTTTATGTTTAAGTGAAAGATAACAGATGCATTTAATAGATTATATTGCAGTTAAAACATACTTTAAAGTTTTATCATTGATGGTAAAATAGATATGTTTAGTTCTAAAAAGTAGGCTACAATATTATACATAACCCTAAACTTATAAAACTAGAAAGATGAACATACACAAAAACTATATAAAATACTAAAAAAAACTATCCATATCTGCATGTAAGAATTACAAATGCTTTTCATTTTTTCCTTTGAATTTTTCTAAAGTTTTGATAATAAAAATCTTCTATATTTAAAATCAGAAAACACATTTAAACAGAAAATCTGTAAGTCACTCACCTCTACACACAAGCATTCTAAAACATAAACTAAAAACAAAAACATAGTACACATAGCAGTTCTTATATATAATATTTATCTAGCTTCCCAAAGTTTAAGGTTGTAGTATGAGATCAATAATCTGCAAAAAGTTTTCTACGTACCTTCTCCAACCATTGTTACGCCTATTGACATGCCTAAGAATTTGCTCTTCGTCCAGACATGCGCATTCACACACATCTTCCTCTCTGCACATTCTGCATAAAATCCTGAGACTGGAGGATGATGGGAAACCTGCTCAGCAACAAATCTGACTGTGTAACAGTCTGATCCCACCTGGCTCAAAGACTCCTCTGAAACAGGAGCTTGATTTGTGGTTGCCTGGGTGGAAGCGCTGCCACTAACAACGGATGGTACCTCACTTTTCGGCATTCTCCAGGAACAGTGAAATGTCTCTCCAATGATAGGATTGTACGGTTTCTTAGCAATGGCCCCCTTACGGCCTTCGTGAAATGAGGTAAGGTAGTACTCAACAAAACGCATCATTCTGTCCTCAGCTGTGGCTCCATTAGTGATGGCTATAAATAAGTCTGGATGAGACATGAAGTCTGCATACATTTCCAGCAAGGAACGCTTCTCCAGGATAAAGGTAGGAAGCACCACCTAGAACAACAACAAAAACATCAACCAAAAAGGGAAAATGAAGCCTGTGTATTCATATGTAAACAACTACTCCAAGCTCGCTGAAAACACATTATCTAAGTGGATATTAAAAACAAAAGTTACAAAGGATAAATATTTGGTCTCAGTAAGCATTAAGCAGGCTTCACAATACATGAGGGGTGATAACCAGCTGCTGGAAGTTTGGGGGCCTGCAGGGAACAGGATTTCTAAACCGCAAACATGTCTAGAGGGCTGTAGTCTAAGGTCATTTTTGCTCGCTACAAATATGTTAAACACTGGGCCACTACTTGCAAGGTTAGCAGTTCAAGTCCACTAGCTGTTCCTCAGGAGAGGGATGATGCTATATACTCCTGCACAGATTTATAGTCTTGGAGCAGTTCCACTCTGTTCTAAAGAGTCGTGGCAGAGTCAACTCAGCGACAGTGTTTGCTTTGCTTTGGCTTATCAAGATATGAGATGTTAAAAGAGGCAATGAATGCCAGCTTTTAGGAAAAGAACAGAGATCACTAATTAAAGCAAAAAAACATAACATTTAATTTTAAGTACATGAGAACTATTTTCAAGAACAGAACTTTTGACACCTAAAGCCCGATAAGAATAAGGAAGATTAAACATTTTATTTAAAGCAAAGCTCAATTCCTTCAGAAAGCTATGAGCCAATATTTTCAAGAGCATTAAGATATTCATACCCATGTAGTCTGTTGATTACTCTTCCAGGAATCTAGCCTTAAAAAACAACATAATAATGAGGGAAAAGGAATATGGAAAATAAAATGTGTGTCATAATATTGTTAGAGTAACTAAGAAATGAAAAGAATACATTTTTAACAGTGGTTCAGGCTAAATATGGAACTTTTGCCTAATGGACAATTTTAAGAATTTCAAAAAATGGTTAAGAAGATAACAGGAGCAAAAAATACTGGCTATTTCACGGTCAAGTGGTGGGGATGAATACTTGCATCTTTATTTCATGGAATTACAAAAAGCAAATTTCATGTGGAGACTAACCCAGGGCCCAGGAAAGGAAGCAAAAGCAAGCATTTGGGCACTGTTAATGGGAAGGAAGAATTTTCAGCAGTACTTCCACCTTACAATCCTAGTGAAACAAGTATCTTCTGTCAATCCAGCCAGAGGACCATCATGGGGATTATTAGGAAGAAGTTTTAAGAAAACTGAAAACTGCGCAGGTGAGAAAAAGGCTGGGAAAGTTGTGCCATGGGATTACCCTCCTGCTCGTTCAACAAATGTGGCAATGGCTGAGAATTTCATTGGAAAACCTTATCCCATCCATCCTCTGGCCCTGATCTTGCTCCTTCAGATCTTTTTGTTCCCAACTCAAAAGAACATTCCAAAGGAACATAATCCGAGTCATTTGAAGACAATATCAAAATTGCTTTCTTGATGTGGTATATACCAAAGAGCACAAAATTCCTCAAGGAAGAGTTAGTGAGATGGAAAAGCTGCCTCAGAAGTGTATAAACTTAGATGGAGGATATGTTGAGAAATATTAACTTCACTTTTTATATTTTTATTAATAAAAGTATATTATTTCATAATAGCACTTTTTTAGTTATGTGTGTGTACTCAATGGATAACATAAAGCAGGAAGATGATTGACACAAAGGTCAAGTTGAAATGATTACCTCTAGGAAAAAGTAGAGGTAGAGGGTCTACAACAAGGAGCGGTGCACAGAGAGCATCATCTAAGGTCTGGCCGTGAAAGGTAGGTATATGGCTACTCATCTTATGGCTGTGTTTTGAACTGAATATTCAGTCTTCTGTGTGTATGATACACTTCACAAAGAAAATATAGTAATCAGGGAAAAAATGAAACAAATGCATACATACTATAATATGAAAAAAGATTTGAAAGTAATCAAGTGAGAATTTTATTGTGTTAGGGTGGTAAAATAATAAACTCAATTAAAAAAACAAACTAACAAAAACCAACCTGTTGCTGAGTAAATTCTGACAAAGTAATCCTACAGGGTAGAGCAAAACTGCCCCATAGCATTACCTAGACTGCAATCTTCATAGAAGCAGACTGTCACATCTTCTCCCATGGTGAGTTAAGCCACTGCTTTTCAGTTAGCAGTTACGTAATTGCTTACTAGCTGTACCACCAAGCACACCGCACGCTGCCCCTACTACCATCACAGAACATCCTTTTCAAATGTTCTTAGTTACGCCTTATAAACCTCAACATTGTTCTACTAAGGGATGGCCACACATACCAAATAAATCCTTCATGTGAATACTGACTTTAACCAAGTTCACAACCAATTATGAAAATATTCCTTGAATAGAAATGATAACCAACTAGAATATCTAGAGTCAGATGAAAGGCCAATGAACTTCATTATTAATTCCCAAAATATGTTTGTTAATAAACTTTTTACTCAATCTATTTACTTAAAACTCCTATAAAAGATAAGAAGTCTAAGTACAGAAATGTGTTTTTTGCCTTTTAATCATTCAAAGTGAATGATAAATACAAATATTCTATCAGTAAGTCACATTTCCATATAAACAATTCATTGAAAACAAATAGCCTTTTAATCAATACTTCCATTACCTTCAATGATACCAAAAGCTTCAATTTGAAACAAACATTAAGTCAATGGTAAAATTCCATACTAATGCCAAACAGTATAGAAACCCCTACAGTAACCATTTTCTTTTGCCATTTATAGTTTTAAAACCTGTTTTCTTGTTTAATTAGTTGCCTTGGATTTATTAATAAAACAAATTAGGGCATCCCAATGGAATAAACTGGAAAACAAAAATGCCAGCCTAAAATGAAAACAAACTACAGAACAAATAAACCAACTGGGGAACTTATTACAAGTACTTCTCATCCACTAGGTCTGGGGTGAGGGCCTGAGATTCTGCATTTTTATCAAGCACCCAGGTGATGATATTGCTGCTTATCTTCAGAACACGTTTTAAAAAGTCCAAGAACCCCCAAAGTATGGTCTTAGGGTTAAATCTGGACTGCTGTTTTGATAATGAAAAATTTCTGAGTGAAACCAACAGACTGTCTATGCTTACTTTTCATGCTACAAAGAGTGAGCTGCATATTTACAACAAAGACCAACACCCACACAGCTGAGAGTATTTACCATCAGGACCTTTCTAGAAGTTTCCTGCTTCCAGTTATACATAATTCCCAAAATGGACTGCCCAAATAAGAGAAAAGTATTTTGTGGAGTTCAAGGCAGCACAGTCCACCAATGCCCCCTTTTCATCTCAGAAACAGGAGGACCGTAGGTCTACATTGATATGCAACTTCCTATTTCACAGAAAACCACAGTTTAAAAATAAAAGATAAGTGCTGATAGACTAAAAACCAAATCATGAAGAGTTAAATGGCCCGACAACATTAACAATTATAGGCAGAATCATGGCTTATGGGCTCCAGAAACTGCTCAGCCTATCACTTACTCTTGTCAAATCCATGCCCAGCTTGAGCTGTGACAGGAGATGCAGGATAACGCTGCGCTGCTCTTCCACGGCTCCCAGGTCATCCTCCTTGTTATCACATGTATCCTCCACCTCGTCATCTGCATTTACTTCTTCAGGTTCCTTGACACAAGAGAAAGCAAAACTCCAGTGCTATAAACATTTGCTAACATCCACGAGGAAAAAAAACATAAAGGGATGAGGTTTAGGAAAATCTGAGGACAGGTAAAGATGTTTCTGGAAATACAGCCTACATTCCTTGGCATTGGAAGAGGTTATTTTCCTAGAACTCATTAGCACTGCAACGGATTGTGGTTTCGGTATATTTACCAAATATGAAAATATTTTTAAAGGAATTTTAAAAAGAGTATATCATGTTTCATCAGAAGCTTTGGCCATCTGCCTACAGGCAGTACTATTACCTGTAAATTACATTCTAGGTGTTGTACAACATAAATATTCGCCCCCTTTAAAGATAAAACTATAGAAGTACATTGAACTTTGGTGTGACTGTACATGTCAAGTCTTAACAACTGCAACATGGGAGTTGCCAGGAGACACCTGGGGGTTATGGAGAATTCTAAGTGCAAGTACGGAAACCCTAAGGTGCTCATGCAGTCTGAATGACACTCAAAGTCTTACACAGCTTTTAAATCTAACCACAAACAGTCCTTTCAGGACGAAAAGTCTTTCGTGTCAGTAGGGTCCTGGCTACAAGTGGTTAAAAGAGAATATTAAACAATAGTATATGGTTTCAAATTCCCAAGTTCTATAGGGTTCTTGGAGCCCCAGCCTGCCTGCCTAACAGCAAGGTCAGCAGTTCGAAACCACCAGCTCCCCTGAGGGAGAATGACGAGGTTTTCTACTCCTATAAAGAGTTTTCATCTTGGAAATCCACAGGGGCAGCGCTATACTGTCATGAAGGGTCACTAGTAGTCAGAATCAACTCGATGGCAGCTGAGTTTTGCTTTATAGGACTTTTATTAGCTATCACTTTCCACATTTATTTGGGGTGGTGTCTCAACGTTCTCTGTGAAACATTCAACTAGTAACTTGGTGTAAGACAGTTTTATATGACAATATTATCTTTTAGATTTCTTCTGGGCTTTAACTTAAGAGGACTGTAAAAAGAACTTTGTTAACTGTAAAAATTAGCTTTGTTAATTTTGTACCTTTGGTTTTCCCCTTCAATAACAGAATCTTACCAAACAACCCATCTATTTTGTGTAGCTAGGTTAAAAAAAATTTTCTTAATCATTTTATTGGGGGCTTATACAACTCTTATCACAATCCATACATCCATCCATTGTGTCAAGCACATTTATACATTTGTTGCCATCATCATTCTCAAAACATTTTCTTTCTACTTGAGACCTTGGTATCAGCTCATTTTTCCTTACTCTCCACACCCCACCCCACGAACCCTTGATAATATATAAATTATTTTGTCATGTCTTACACTGTCTTATATGCACTTTTCTGTTGTCCGTCCCCCACGGAGGGGGTTATATGGAGATCCTTGTAATCGGTTCCCCCTCTCTACACCACCTTCCTTCTACCCTCCCGGTATTGCCACTCTCACCACTGGTCCTGAGGGGTTCATCTGTCCTGGATTCCCTGTGTTTATAGTTCCTATGTGTACCAGTGTACATCCTCTGGTCTAGCAAGATTTGTAAGGTAGAATTGGGATCATGATAGTGGGGGAGAGGAAGCATTAAAGAACTAGAGGAAAGTTGTATGCTTCCTCAGTGTTATACTCCACCCTGACTGGCTCGTCTGCTCTCCGAGACCCTTCTGTAAGCGGATGTCCAGTTGCCTACAGATGGGCTTTGGGTCCCCACTCCGCACTCCCCGATTCACAATAATATGACATTTTGTTCTTTGATGCCTGATACCTGATCCTATCAACACCTCATGATCACACAGGCTGGTGTGCTTCTTCCATGTGAGCTTTGTTGCTTCCCAGCTAGATGGTCGCTTGTTTATCTTCAAGCCTTTAAGACCCCAGATGCTAAATCTTTTGATAGCTGGGCACCATCAGCTTTCTTCACCACATTTGCTTATTCACCCGCTTTGTCTTCAGCAATCGTGTCGGGAAGGTGAGCATCATGGAATGCCAGTTTAATAGAACAAAGTGTTCTTGCATTGAGGGAGTACTTGAGTAGAGACCTGATGTCCATCTGCTACCTTAATACTAAACCTATAAATATGTGTACATAGATCTATTTCCCCATCATTGTATATAAATATATTTACATATATACATGCCTCTATTTAGACATCTATAAATGCCCTTTGCCTCCTAGTTCTTTCCTCTATTTCAAAAAAAAATTTTTTTAAATAAAAAAATCCCCCCAAAACAGAAACTTAATGTTCTCCGGTTAAAAACTTGTCAGTTGATCCCCCCTCTGATGCACATTAGACCTGATCTGGTTTTCAACATTTTCTGTGTTTTTTGTTTGCTTGTTTTCATTTCATATTGGGGTTTAGCTCAGATGTACTTAGTCCCTGGGGGTAAACTTCCTCAATGTTTGTTATATGTGTTTCAGGATATGAAACCCAGGATTGATGAACCTAGAGAGACAGCAAGTAGAATACGGGTTTCTGGGAGGTACAGTTGGGTAGGATGGAGTTAATGTCAAGGAGTTCAAGAAGGAAGAGAGTATTTTGAAAAACATTGTGGTAGTAATTGTACTATACTGCTTGATGTGATTAAACTAGGGAATGATATATCTCTATTAAAATGCAAAAAAAGTGACTGTGGAAAAAATAAAAACAAACCACACACAGACACACACATACAAACAAACATGAAAAACAACATACTGTTCTCAAAATAAAACACAGTGAGTTTCTGGTCTTTATTTTGCTTTTATCTTTTCCCCATCTTCTATCACAGAAATATACATCAGGTCAGCTTCTGAAATGTCACTTAAAGACTGAATTCATTTCCTTAAATGAAGAATATACTTCTGTGTTTATAATTTTAAGGACAGATACCAGAGGCATTGTTAATTCCTCTCTAATGGCTAGTAAATCTGTCAGTAACCTAGGATAAACCAGTTGTACAATATACTTCTGAATATTTAAAACCCTAATCACATCAGTCACTGCTCAGTCCATGCGGTGCAGAGTACAACTGATCATGGGGTTTTCAAGGCTGGGACCTTTCAGAGCCAGTCACCTGCAAGTGGTTGGATCTGGCAATCATTTGTTAATAGTGGAGCGTTTAACTGTGCTTCCTACTGGATGTTCACAAGTCCTAAGAGAGGTAGGAAAGCTGATCACTCACCTGTCTAAATATGAATAACAAATACAATACGATTTAATACTAATACTGAGCGGGGGCAAATCTTCTTGGTCTAGATTTAAGTAATGTTCTCCAACCTTCTTAAAAGGTACTGTTACAGTTTTAAGGTCAGAATCTGGAACGCATATTAATAATATTAACACTACCATACAGTACAAAATTTACTTTGTGGTTTGGAACTACCTCCTGTAAAACAATTATTAAAATAAAAGTAAAAGGTACAGTTATTGTTTTTATAAAAATGGTCAAATCACTTAATAGAAAAAGTTACATTAGATATTGATTCGTCATAATAGTGGGAACTGAGGAATTTAGAAATTCTCTTTTTTAAAAAAAAGGCTTCCTCATGCTATTTTAAAAGAAAAGCTTAAGCATTAGGAAGTGAAAGCATTATCCACATTCCAATAAGCACACTCCACTGGGGTGAGGGAGGGGGAAAAAATATACTAAGGGCTGAAGTAGAAAGAAAATGTTTTGAAAGTGATGATGGCTACATATGTATAAATGTACTTGATCCAACTGATGTATGGATTGTTATGAGCCCCTAATAAAATGAGTTGTTAAAAAGAAATAAATGAACACACCCAACTGTATAAAATTTGAATCCAGAATGGTTACCAAATGCAGTGGCAAGAACTGTTGTTGAGTTTCTAGGAAATGTCTATATTTGGAGATTCAGTGCCAAAGAGTAACCCCAATATTCCACAAAATGCACACTAACCCTTCTCTCACCTTCCGAGTTCTGATTTGGGGTAAGAAGAGCTATGGGCTTCATCCTAGCCTCATCAGGCTTACTTCCTCTCTTAGGTGACAGGAAAGTCTCTACTACTACCATACAGGTCTCCAGCTTGTATGCACATATTTCAAAGAAGAAAGCTACTAAACTTTTGGAAAATTCAAGGCTATTCAGGCTATTTAAGTGAAGTCTGTCTTTAATTTTTTTTAAAAATCTGCAGTTCCCCCAAACCCCGCTTATACTCTACTTGGCAATGTACTTGGTCTCTTAACCTCTGTGCCTCAATCACAGGTGGCTTTAGTCTGATTTTCAAAACATGTTGCATTCCCCCAAATCTCTAGTTGCTTTTAATAGACATTTACAGTCAAATTCTACTCTCATCAGAAAATTCAACATGTTCATAATCATATTAACCCCTTTTCTCTAGAAGCTTTCATTGTAATTTTCCTACAGAGTGGCACCACAATTTTATCTACTGTATATAGTTGAGTATAAGCTGACCCAAATATCAGCTGAGGCACCTAATTTTTTTAAAAATAGTTTTATTAGGGGCTCATACTACTCTTATCACAATCCATACATACATCAATTGTGTAAAGCACATTTGTACATTCATTACCCTCATCATTCTCAAAACATTTGCTCTCCACTTAAGCCCCTGGCATCAGGTCCTCATTCCCGCCCCCTCCCTCCCCCCTTTCCCCTCCCTCATGAACCTTTGATAATTTATAAATTATTATTTTGACATATCTTACCCTGTCCCACTTCTCCCCTCACCCACTTTTCTGCTGTCCTTTCCCCAGGGAGGAGGTCACATGTAGATCTTTGTAATCGGTCCCCCCTTTCCAACCCACCCTCCTTCTACCCTCCCAGTATTGCCACTCACACCACTGGTCCTGAAGGGATCATCCGCCCTGGATTCCCTGTGTTTCCAGTTCCTACCTGTACCAGGGTACATCCTCTGGTCTAGCCAGACTTGCAACGCACCTAATTTTACCACAAAAACTGCATTAAAAATGTGCTGAAACACTCAGCTTATACACGAGTATATACAGTAATCATTTAGGCTAAAAACTTTGATCCAACTCTACCAACCCACGAGATTTTTCATTTCAAATGCATATTATCTATGCACGTGTCTTTGTTTCTATTTCCACTTTTATTCTAAGGTAAATCCCATATTACCACTCTTCTTAAACATATCACATCCTTCCCCAGCTTAAGACCCCACTGTATATCATATTAAGACCAAATTCGTATGTTATTTTTTTAATTCCTCTGGTTAAAAAAAAAGGCAACTGGTAACATTTTTTTTCTTTTTTTTTTCATCTACTTTTCCCACATCATAATTTCTTCCTTATTCATTGTCCAGTTTCGAAGTGTATCTCACTCATTGAGACACTCCATTGAGTTGATGACAACTAATAGCAACCCTATAGGGCAGGTAGAACTGCCCTCGTGAGTTTCCCAGACTGTAACTTTTTTTCACCAACAGTTTTATTGGCAATTAAGTTAAATATAATTCAATAGCTCAATCATTCAATCATATCAAGGAGAATTATACTGTCAGCCCCACTTCCATTTTAGATTGCCCCACCCAACCGTAGTTAAATCGCTTCTAAGATGAGCTATGCAATCAAAATCCGTCTAGTGCTCCTTTCACCTTCCTATCCCCCTTATTTACTCCTGACTTCCCCTCCCCACATTATCCACCCATCACCCCTACTGCATCCACTCCTCCCATGCTTCACAGCTGGGAGACGCAACACAAAACAGTAACAAACAAAACAGTGATAAAGTGGTAGGTAAAATTAAAAATATAATAGTGCACAGACAAAAACACAAATAATGCATAAGGAGGAAAAGGCACCTAACAACATCTAAAAGCCAGGGAAGAAATGTTCATCATGTAATAGGTATTCACAACCAGAACAGACTCAGGTCACATCAACAGGGTGGTCAACTGGCCAAGCATCCGCAACTGGTAACATTTGTTGGTCCAGTTTCCACAAGCCCAGGGAGCATGATTTATACTCTTCTCTGGTACATTGCTCCAGGGAGCATCCTTCATGTAGAATGCAGTTCCAATGGTACTATATGGAGCTGTGGCATTGACAATCTATCACCATTTCCCACAAGTACTCTCCGAAATTCATATTATACCTTCTACTATAAGGTATTCTTATCCTTCTCTCACAGGTGAGGAAATTAAAAGGATGAGTGGTCAAGTAATTGGCCCACATATTAATAAATGGCAGAACCTGCCATGGAAACCATCAGGCAAGCCTTCTCCATAGGAGCAGTCTAGACTACCTTACTATCCTGCTTTTGCTACCTTTACCTTTGGGTTCTCTTACTCTTCTTCTCTCCAAATCCTCTCCTCCTTTTAAAGCTCAATTTCTATTGCACTTTCTTGTCAAGAGGAGCCTGGGTGGTATAGTGGCTAAGCATTGGGCTATGAGCCACATGGTCAGCAGTTGGACACTACCAGCAGCTCCTTGGGAGAAAGACTGGGCTTTCGACTCCCCGAAGCAGTTAGTCTTGCAGACCCACACAGGCTCACTGTGAGTTTTTCAGTTCTTGCCAAAGTACTTTTTCATTTATTCTATGTTCTAGTAAGCTAAATTGTTTCAATTAAGGCCAGATCAAAGCATAAAACAAGTCTTCATACTATTCTCTCAGTTCTGTGTATATCTTGTGACAAGATTTCAAGTCTTCAGGGAAAGAACTATATCTTATATTTTTGCATCTCCTTCAAATGCTAAAACTGGGCTGGTGATCTGCCAGATAACTTAAAACATACTTGCTGTCATCGACTTGACTTCACAGATAAGCTAGTCAAAACCCAACTCATAAATTACTTCCAGCCTCCACCCCGCCCCCTGTTCATCCTGCCCGATCTACCTGCCTTAATGAGCCAAGACTATAACAGCTTTGGAAGTTTCTGTGTGACACATTTCTTTTACAAAGTAATTTGTCAATATGTAAACAGCTAAAACTCTTCACTACTCTTGGCTGAATGAATAGAATCCCCCCCCAAAAAAATCTAGAGAAAGAGAAAAACAAAACTGTTTACAAGATGATACAGTGCTATTTATAAAAACAAAAAATAAGATATTCAGAATGGTAACATAAAAAAACGCAGAAATGCACACAAGGAAAAAACAGTGTGTTATAGTGGTGGAATTTTGAGTAAATGAAAACACTCATTTGAGAAACTGGTTTGGTAAGAGTGCTATCTGTCGAAAAGACTTCATAGCAAACTTTTAAATTTAATAGAAAGCTTTTGGCAAGTAATGTTAAATGAATATAATTGAGAAAGAACAACATGAGAAAAAGAAAAACGTCATTTAAACAATCTTATTAAATAAGTAATTTTCTCAAAACAAACTAGCAAGCAAACAAACAAAACTCACTGCCACCAAGTCGATTCCGACTCACAGCAGACCTGTGGGACAGGGTGAAACTGTTCTGCCAGTCCCCAAGACTGTCACTCTTTAAGGGAGTAGAAAGCCTCATCTTTCTCCCTAGGAGCAGCTGGTGGTTTCCAACTGCTGACTTTGCAGTTAGCAAAACAGTACGTAACCACTGGGTCACCAGGGCTCCTGCTTTCTGGAGAAAAAAAACCGCAAGTAGCAAAATTTTAAACACATTATTAGCAAGGAAAAGCAAATTTTAAAAGAGTACGTAATTTTATCCAGGGGGGATAAAAAAGTGACATGTACATATTTAACACAATGGGCTATTCCTGTAGAACAGCAATGGGGGGCTGCTCTGATGGCATTGTTGGCCCACGTCCTGAGAAGCCAGGAACTAGAACTTCTCAGTGGATCTTAATTACTTTACAACAAAAGCATACTTTCATATTACCTTACCCTTGCTAGTTGTCCAGACTCTGCAACAGACTGCTCCTCTGGGACTGCCACTGGCTTGCTCTGCTCAGTTGCAAAGTCAGCTCCATTTCTATAGTGGTTTGATAAAGGTATCTTTGGCTCTAACCACTCGATTGTCGTTCCTGATGAATTAAGAGAAAACTTTTGCTGAAACTTGCTCATAATCTGCAAAGTTCAGCAGATGTAAATTTTATTAAACAATTTTAAGCCTGCAAGACTAAAAAGCAAGTCAACCTGTTCACAGACCCTGCAACGCAGGCACTTGTGTCTCATTAGCATAAGCACAATGATTGGGCAACATTTTACCAGAGACACTTGCAACTTGAAATCAAATACCATTTAAAAGAATCCGCCCAGAACAGACTGAAGTCACTTCTTGGGCAAGTCGGTGAATCACTGAGTTGTATTCTGCACCCTAGCAATCAATTCGTTGCCTTTTCTGTATGAGGCCGACCTCGCTCTTGTGACTTCAGCAGAAAAGAGTATACAATTAGGCTTTGGGGGTCACAACAGGAAGGGCCTGGGACTGTGAAACAGTACAATTTGTTTCAGTTCAGGGCTGACCCCTATTATCAACAGCAATTTTCTGACCGATCAAGATAACCCTCTGGATCTAATTTAAAAATTGAAAATAGATGGCCATTCTTCTTAATCTTCTGTTTTTAATGATGTAAAAAGTCCTATATACTTTTAAACTGAAGGGCTCTTCTGAATAAATAATAGGTGACCTAGTAAAAGACCATGGTCACATTTGGAGACCTGTCATCTCAGTTAATGACTCAAACATCTCTTATTACCCTCAACTAGTTTAACAAAGTGGATTCTATACCTAATCAATAATGGAAAGTGTTCCACTTGATTGCAGAGGCTGATCTAGGTTTCACAGAAGCTACAATAAGGGATGTTCAGACTGCCACAGCAGGAATTTAAATGAGTAAGCAGTCTACTCAGCCCACTTCAGCAGAGGAATAGATTGCAACTTCCCTTCCAGTCTGCCTGACCACTTAGTTCAATCTCACAAAGCACTGGGAAGATTCATGGTTGCCAGTGGCGGAGGGGGGTAGCTCATGGGGTATGTTTTAAAATTCCAAGGAAATGGAAAAACTTTGCTCCTACCTTAAAATATTTTTAGTATCAATATCCAGATTATCTTACTTCTAAAAATAAATTGTACATAAACACTAAATTTAGAAATCTTTCCTCTCACTGGATACCACAACAAAACTATTTAGCATATAAATCATTTGGTCTCAGAGCTCTTCTAAATAAAGAATGCCTTTAAGGAGCCCTGGGGGTGTGTAGTGGTTGCGTGCTGGGCTGCTAAACACAAGGCCAGCAGTATGAAACCACCATCCGCTCCGCAGGAGAAAGAGGTTTTCTACTAAAGAATTACAATCTTGGAAACTCAGAGGGGCTGTTCCACCCTGTCCTATAGGGTCGCGCTGAGTTGGACTCAGGCACTTAACAACATATATAAATCAGAAGATACTAGAAAGGAATGAAAAAAATCACAAATTTCCCCGTGAATTGCTTCTTCTACAGACTAACAAAAGATGTTTTATTCTTTTTTTTTAGAAGGCTTTATTTTTATTTTATTTTATTTTTTATCGTTTTATTAGGGGCTCATACAACTCTTACCACAATCCATACATACATCAATTGTGTAAAGCACATTTGTACATTCACTGCCCTCATCATTCTCAAAGAATGTTTTATTCTTTTAAAAATATTTGGTCATTGTAAAATCATATAAGGAGCCCTGGTGGCACAGTGATTAAAAGCTCAGCTACTAACCAAAAGGTTGGCCAATCAAACCCACCAGCCACTCCACACACAAAAAAGAGGTCTGTTTCAATAAAGATGATAGCATTATAGCTCTATAGAGCAGTTCTACTCTGTCCTATGGGGTCACTATGAGTCAAACTCAATGGTAATGAACTTTTTTTATATATATAAAATTATGTTCTAATTCTAAAACAGCAAATGATATAAGAAAGGAGAGGTAGCTGGATAAGAGGACAATAGGTTGTCGTGAAATATGAATCAATTACTATGAATGCAATGTGACAGTGTTTCTTCATCTATTTAATAGAAAATTTATCTTTATTATTGAATGCAATTACATTCTTTTGCCATGTACCATCAATGTCAACAAATTCTGTCAAATATTAGACAGACACATTTTGTTCTAAATGAAAGGTGACTGATAGGCCATGGAAAGTATGTCATTATAAAACACTGACTAGTCAACAGTGCCAAAATTCAAGTGATAATACCAAGTTTCTCGCTTTATCAACTGGGAGGATAGTCATGCCACAACTTCTAACGGGAAGTACAGAGGATGAACATACTGAAGTATTTTGACATGCTGAGTTTCAAGTTTCTAAAGGAATATGTAATGATGTAAAACTTAAAATCATTTCAGATCCAAAGAAAAACACAACAGAAAGAATTTATATAAAATTACTTTGAAAATTAAAATCCAAGAGGCTCATGGGTTTTTATTTTTTTATTTCAGAATTTTCTCAAATAAGAATGACAAAAATATACTCTTTATTTGACTTCGGCCTGCAGAGTTAGACCCAACTTTTAAACTATTACTTACCTGAAGGCAATGAACTTTTCTGATGTGATGCATGCTGCAACTGAAGAATATGAAAGCAGTCATTTAAGCAGTTCATTGTTGCCATGGAAGTTGCTTTCAGCATTAAGAGATCCTGGTCCAAGGAACTAAGATGGCCAGACGATGGAAGACATTCAATTCGCCTAATTAAATCTCTCTGTTGTCCTTCAGCATGAGACATCATCTAAGGAAAATAACAGTTCTGTGGGTCCCACTCATAATTTCTATATAGCATATAGACATAATCACCATTTTAATTAGCATATTCAATGTGAGAATCTCTTTTTAGGAGATATGGGTTTGGAAACCTAGTTTACATTTGCTTGGCTGTTACGAACTGCTGAGTCCATTCTGACCCATAGCTTATAGGATAGGGTAGAACCGTGTCTTTCGAGTTTTGAGACTTTAAACCTTTATTTAGCACAGCGGTTCTCTACCTGTGGGTCGCAACCCCTTTGGAGGTCAAACAACCCTTTCACAGGGGTCAGCCAATTCATAACAGTAGCAAAACGACAGTTATGAAGTAGCAACGAAATAATTTTATGGTTAGGGGTCACCACAACATGAGGAACTGTATGAAACGGTCAAGGCATGAGGAAGGTTGAGAACCACTGCTTTAGGGGAATAGACAGTCTCATCTTTCTCACATAGAGTGGCTGGTGTGTTTGAACTTTGGACCCTCTGGTTAGCAGCTCAGTGGGCAGCACACAGTACACATCACCAGGGCTCCTTTGCTTGGCTATCAGCCACGCTCAGTTAATGAAAAACTTAATTGTGTTTGTCAATTAAACACAAAACAGAGAGCTCTAACAGATGTACTTTTTCTTTGGATATAACAAAGTTCAAAAGATTTCCCTTTTTTGGGTAAAATTAACAAAGAGCACATTAATACAAAGTCAACAGAGAAAACAATGCAGAACACTCTCATTAGCAGCATTAAGTATTTCTTCAAAGTAAAATTAATTCCTGGTCTGGGCTCTCAACCACTTTTTTCTTAGCATTTTCAGGCTTGCTCAATTAGAATCAACATTGAGAACATGACAGTTTTCCTTTTGCTTCATTTCTCACGTAACTTCTTGGTCCCGTTTGATTAATTTTTTTAAATCATTTTATTAGGGGCTCGTACAGCTCTTATCACAATCCATCCATCCATCCTGTCAAGCACATTTGCACATTTGTTGCCATCATCGTTCTCAAAACATATCGACTTGAGCCCCTGGTATTGGCTCCTCATTTTTTCTCTCTCCCTCCCTCATGAACCCTTGAGAATTTATAAATTATTATTATGTTCCATACACTGGCCATACAGTTTCTTACACTGACCAATGTCTCCCTTTACCCACTTTTCTGTTGTCCGTCCGCCTGGGAGCAGGTTATATGTAGATCATAGTGATCAGTTCCCCCTCTCGCCTCCCCATTAGACTAATTTTTGAGCAAGTTGACATGAGTTGACTAGAAGCCCTGTTCCCTTTTCCTAATAGAGTCAAAGGATTAACAATCATATGCAACCCATGCATCTATATCAGATGGATCTTGGTTTAAAGCGCAGAAAACCAGAAAGATGTTGGCTTGTGTTTTACTGACTATGCAAAGGCATTTGACTGTGTGGATCATAACAAACTATGGCTAGCCTTGAGAAGAATGAGAATTCCAGAACACTTCATTGTGCTCAAGCAAAAGCTGTACATGGATCAAGAGGCACTTGCTTCAAACGGAACAAGGGTAATCCCATGTGAGAGTGTAGAGAACAGCAGAGGTATGACACACAGTGATTATACACAGAGCCTAGAGCATTATCATCACTAGAGACATGGTTCAAGAGGTTGACTTTAAATAAGTCAATTCTCTAAGAAAATACCTGTTCTCAACAAGAGGAAACTCTTTCAACACACGTCTTAGTTTTATGTTAAATACCAACATGATATGAAAAATATACTTAAGACACTGGATACTACAGTGTTATGAAAAATGATCCTTAGATTAGTGAGAATAATCCATGCAAGCATAAGAGAGAGGAGGAGATGGATCAAACGTTCACAATAAAAAACAGCTAAGAGGGATATATATAATCATGGTCTTGGTATAGACGGTCAAAGACCAAAACAGGTCTCTATCCCCTACGTAACTGAAAGGCACGGACACAGGAAGACAGCATGTTTCTATGCTACTCAAAGAAACCTACAGATAATAATGCAATTCCCCAAACCAGATTCCCACTTCAATCTTTAAAGAGCTGGGAAAACTAATCACCAACTTTATACAGAAAGGAAAGAGACCCCAGAGAAGTAAAGCACTACTACACAGGGCTCACACTCCCTGATACCCAAACCTGCTATGCAGCCACACTAGTCAAAAAAGTTTGGGATTGGCATAATGACAGCCACACAGACCAGTGTAACAGAACTGAGAACCCAGGAATAAAGCCATCCACCTATGGATAGTTGATCTTTGACCACAGGGGAGAGATCGTCTCTTCAACAAATGATCCCAGAAAAACTGGGTATCTATTTGGAGAAAAATTAAATAAGCCGCATATCTCACCATATAAAAAAACTAACTCAAGATAAAGACCTGTTTGTCAAACCTACAACTACAAAGAACACAAATGGAAAAATAGGGGCAATCTTAGTGGCTGTATACATGGCATAGATGTACTATCAAACATAACTGAAAATGCACAAACAACAGAAAGCAAATTAGACAGCTGGGGCATCCTGACAATTAAATGTTCCTGCAGGTCAAGAGGTTTCTCCAGACTGGGGGAGAGTTTGGGGCAAGTGCCTCTGAAAAGGGCTAATCTCTGAAATTGACAGGAAACTCCAATACTTCACCAACAAAAACAAAACAATTTAAAGAGGCAGAGGGCATGAACAGACACTTCACCAAAGACATTCAAGCAGCTAAAAACATTTGATGAAATGCTCATTATTGTCAGCCACTAAATAGGTAGTAATCAAAACAACAATATCATCTCACCTAAGCCTTAATAGCAAATTTTTTAAAAATGATAAAAACAATTAATACTGGCAATGTGTGGAGATTAGAACCCTCCTACATGGCTGGTGGCCAGTGGAAAGCAGTGGGATGCTTCCTTAAAATTTAAGTAATAGAAACACCGTATGACTCAGCAATCTTGTTAGTTATATAGCCTAGAAAAATAACAGCCTCAACATGAACAGACCATGAGCACACCCATGTTCATTGCAGCACTATTCACAATAGCAAAAAGAGGAAACCAACCTGAGTGTCCAACAACAAATAAATGGCTAAACTAAGGTCCATCCACACAAGAGAATAGTACACAACACTAAAAATAACGATGAATCTGCAAAATACCTTATAACCTGGATGAACCTAGGACCCTATGCTGCGTGAAATTAGTCCATGACAAAAGGACAACAAATACTGTATGAGACCACAACTATAAAGAGCTAAGAAATAGTTAACACACAGACTCATTCTTTGATTAAAGAGAAGAGAGGGTAAATCACTAAGTAGAAGGTAAACACAAATTAACTTAGGTGAAGAGAAAGGCAAAGTACAACACGGAGATCAGCACAAATTGATCAAGCAAGGGAAGGCAATGAGTGGAGAAAGAGTTATAAGCAAGAAACACAAATACTATATATACCTGATCCTGTATTATCACCAATAACAATCTACAAGTAGATATATAGAAAGACACTAAAGGTGAGCACAGCTGGAAAGGTGAATGGAGTGAGTGTGTGTGTGTGTGTGTGTGTGTGTGTGTGTGTGTGTGAAGATATTTATGCATATGTATTTTTATGTGCTGCAAATATATCATAAAGTAAAGAACACAGAGGACAAAGTTATATACCAGAGACCTTGAGGTAATGAGTTTCTGGGCTTGGGGATCACAACTGTAGTTTCAGGGGACACTCAGCTCAATTGGCACAATATATTCCACAAAGAAAATGTTCAACATCCTACGTTGGTGAGTATCAGCCATGTATGAGGTGCAAGTAGCTTCATTCAGGGTGAAGAAAATCAAAGACACCAAGAAACGTTGGGTCTAGAGAACTAATGGGCCACAGGAACTCTATCCAGCCTCCGACTCCAGGACCAGGAGGACTAGATGGTGCTGGGCTACCAAAGCCGACCACTCTGAAAAGGATCATACCAGGAGGCCCTGGACAAAGTGGTCTAAAAATACCGAACACAATCACAAAAAGACCAGGGTTATTTGGTTGATCCCTGGAAACTATGGCCCTTAGTCAACCTACAGGTTTGGAACTGAACTCACCCCTGTGGCTCAACATTCAGCCAAAGAACAAACAGACCTACGAGGGGAACAAAACACTGGAGGAGTATGCACGCCTTAGAATGATCAACTACACGATCAAAAGAGCAGCATTTGCCCAGGGATAAAGCTCTAAAGGTCAGGGAAATGGTACACACAGGAAGGGATGGGAAGAGTGCTATTATTACCTTGTGAGATACAATTATTGAATGAAAAAACAATCTGCTCTGTAAACCTCACTAAATCACAGTAAAACAAGCAAACACACAAACGGCGACAAAAACTAGAACGTCTTGCCCCATCAAACCTCAAGCACACACTGACTTCAACTGACAGTGTCTCAGTAGCACAGAGTGGAAGTGCTCCAGAGTCCTCCGGGCTGGAAATCTTTAAGCTGGCTGACTGCCTGCCACATCCTTCTCCTGGCAGGCTCAAACCACTGGCTTCTCTTGTGGCAGCCAAGCACTCAATCGCGGCACCGCCAGGGCTCCTGGAAAGGCCTCTGGAGAGGCTAAAATCTTAAGTCTTAAAGGGTTCCTTTTCCTTAAAATTGAGCACTGTAACCCGGAACAACTTAAGCTACATATTTTTTCTTTGTGTTTAGCCATTTTTCATAAAAATATGAACGTTATACCACATATGCAAGTATATGAGAGGGCTTCAAAATGTTTGTGGAAAAATGAAATTAAAAGATATATTTGTCCATCAACTTTTTGAAGCCCCCTTGAAGGGCCATAATAAAATTTTCACAATCACATACACTTGTGTAACCAACGGCTGGATCAAGAACAGAACATGGTCAGCATCCCAGAAATAATCCCTCAACCCCTGGCCTTGAGCTCTGAGCCATTCTTAGCAACTGCTGAAGAGTTCCAAAGGTTTCATGGCTACTTTTTCAGGCTAACGAACAAATTATGGTACTTTATGATGGTATCTTAACCACTTTTAATGTTTCCTTTTTCACCAATCTAGGCTAATAGTGATGATTTATCTACTAAGTGAATACCATCATCATGACTATAAAAGCATTATTCTATGAAACAATTTTTGTAACTACCTCTTCTTCATATAGCAAAACTGAAAAGTGAGGTGAAGCTATCATGTATGTTCCTAAAGAATGTTTCATCTCTCTAAATCGAAATTTCCTTACCTATAAGCAAAACCAGAAATGGCGTGACCTGTCTTGAATCATGAGGGTGATTTAAAATATTATTTTCAATAATTCACTCTTTAAGTGTAAGTTCTACTAAATTTAATTCAAATAAGTACTATATATACTAGTATAAGCTGACCCAACTATCAGCCGAGGCACCTAATTTTACCACAAAAACGGCATAAAAAAAATGTGCTGAAAAACTCGGCTTAAGCCAGTCCAGAGAGGACCACATGGCCAGCCCCACTATGAGACATGATGCCCCTCACTGACCCATGGCCCTGCGGGGGACAACACCAGAGACACAGTGTGGGAATTGCACCCAATCTGATCCCGCCACACTGAGGCAAAGCACTGGGGGAGTGCAGCGGAACAGCAGGGGAAGGGAGCAACAAGATCCCCAGGGAATGATGAGGGTGGACTTTGGGGACAGGGCGTGGTGCCCCAAAAGGCTGAACTGGAAAACACTCTTAAAGGCCAGCGATCCTTGAACTAACTACAAGCTTT